TCTCTGCCATTGAATTCAGGTATTTGTCATTTGGCCCCTTTATAGATTTTGGGGGACTGGATGCCCGAAGAGGTCTTTCTGCATTTTCTCCAGCAGTTCTCTAGACCTGATAGGAGCCAGTAGATTTTGTTATATTTTAAGGCAGCAAAGTTACTGTTGGCATCTTACTAACATTTTTACACTGTGGAGGAGCCATTGTGATTTCCAGGGTGGCTTCACTCAAAGCATTTAGTATTTGAGTCACTGGCAGCAAAGATGGTATTGTCTTCAAAGGGTGAGGTAGGATGCAAGAGGGGTCTCCTCCACATTCAAGTGGGAAAGTTTGGGATCATCTGCTTTGTCAGGTGGGTTTCAATGGTGCTCATGTCTGCATTGGCTTTTCCTCCAAAGGAAGCTTTTCATCTGCTGAACTGTTCGGACCCTGGCCCCTCGAGACACCTGGCTCCTCTGTAGTAAGAGGCCACAGTGACTTGTCAGCTGGCGGCGCCATCAGCATCACTCTATGGAGTGAATGACATCCTGCCTGACTTCCTGAAACGAGTGAGCCGCTGGTAGCTATCTAAAGTGATTCCCTGAGTGGACCCGCTGGAAGGAAGTGTTTACATGGCCCAGCTGAACACTGGGGAGTAGCTGCCAAGTGCCGCACTATTAGGATCAATCTCATTTATGTCAAGCTGGGCTCTGCGGGCACAGTGATTAGCCCAGGGATTCAGTTGTTACTTTTCTCATCACCCCACCCCCACGATCAAAGCAAGGCTTTCTCACTGTGGAAAATATGAGAAATGCACAAAAGGTGGGAAGGAGGGAAAATAGGAGGCAGGAGGAAAGGAGTCATGCAGAATCCAGCCACACAATTTCTTCTGACCTTTTAAAATGCATTTTGGAAACACAGTTGAAATCCTGAGGTATAGGAGATATATGATTTTATATTCTGATTTTTTTTTTTTGCTTTATATGTTGCAAGCTTTTACCTGTGTCACTTGAAACTCTACAAAAAGAATGTGTTTAATGTTTTTCCAGACAGGCTGCTTTGAGTTTTTTCACTGTTGCAAAGGCATCCTTAGTTCATTATCTTTGACTACACTTTGCACAGTTATTCTCCTTCTTAAGAGAGAGTTCTGGAAGTAGAATTATGTGACAAAAAAGTATAGACATTCTAAAGCATTTCTCTCCTGTGGATTGGATGCGTGGCTTTCCGGAAAGCTTACCCTTGCTCAGTGTCAAGCCAGAGCATCTGCCCCATGGTGACCTTCAAACAGCACAAGGAGCAAACCTGGATCTGTTTTGTAATTTGAAGAGATAAAAGAACAATGCATTATTTTTATTTGCATCTTGGTGATGATGAGTGAGAATGAGTGATATTTTATTTTACTTTATTTTTTGAATTGGGGAGAGAATTTATACATTTTTTTCCTTTGGGGAATTACCTACTTCCTGGTTATTGGGTGTTTAAAGAGATTCTTATGACCTCCTCTAACATGAAAGAGATTAGCCCCATGTCATATTTATTTCAAATTTTTTTTTTGGTACAGAGGATTGAACTTGGGGGCACTTGACCACTGAGCCACATACCCAGCCCTATTTTGTATTTTATTTAGAGACAGAGTCTCTAAGTGAGTTGCTTAGTGCCTCACTTTTGCTGAGGCTGGCTTTGAACTCTTGATCCTCCTCCTTCAGCCTCTCTAGCCACTGGGATTACAGACATGCGCCATCACACCTGGCTTATTTCAAATGTTTAACTAGTTTGAAATTTGCCATTGGGTTTTTTTTAGGGTAACACCTTTATTAAGATAAAATTCATAGACCATACAATTTACTCATCTAAAGTATACAGTTCAGGGCTGGGGCTATAGCTCAGTTGATAGAGTGCTTGCCTCGCATGCACAAGGCCCTGGGTTCAATCCCCAGCACCAAACAAACAAACAAAAAACAGTTCAGTGTTTCTTTTTTTAATATATGTACAGATTTGTGCCATGATCACTACAACCCAGTATCAGTACTTTATTTCTTTTTATTGCTGAATAATATTTAGTTGTATGGATATACCACATTTTGCTTATCTGTTCATTGATTGATGGATATTTGGATTTTTTTTTCATCTGTATTGTTTGTTTACCAAGTTTTAAATTCATATCTTCAAGTTTGTGGCTTATTTAGATGGTGATTTCTTTAGTTGTTTGATTAACAAAGCTTCTCCCAAATCAATGACAACATATTTCCCTTCTAATTTTATCCTTTTAATTTTTAAAAATTGTTTTATTTTTGTTTCACATTTCAATTGACAATCCACCTAAATTTCATTTTGGAGTTATGAGAATTAGGAAAAGTTTAAATAATATTCCATGGTCCCCCATCTGCCCCAGGAGCTGATAATTTCCAGGTGTGTCTGCAGAGTTATCTTCTCACTGACCATTTCCTTTTTGTTGTTGTTGTTGTACTGATTTATTTTTTAAAAGACTTCATTTTGAGGTTCACAGCAAAATCAAGTGGAAGGGACAGAGATTTCGCACACACTCCCTGCCCCTGCATATACGCAGCATCCCATGCTGACATCATCCAGCCCCAGAATGGCAACTTGTTACAATAGATGAGCCTCTTGGACCCATCCTCATCCTTTGGGGTCCAAGGCTTATACTAGAGCTCCCTTTCAGTGTCTATATTCTGTGTGTTTGGATAGATGTGTAATGTCATGTATCCATCTCAAAACATCATGCAGAGTATTTTCTGTGCCTAAAAATCCTCCGTGCTCTGCCTGTTCACTTCTTCCTCCTTCCCGACCCCTGGCAACCACTGATCTTTTTATTGTCTTCATTTTGCATTTTTGTAGAACGTCATATAGCTGGTGTCACATGGCATGTCACTTTCTAATCCTTCTTTCATTTATTAATGTGCATTTAAGCTTCCTCCAGGTCTGTTGAGGAAACTGCTTGAGGGGCTCATCCTTTTGAGTGCTGAGTAATAGTGCATCGTTTGGTTGTACAGTAGTTTATTTGTCCATTCACACACTGAAGGACATCTTGGTTGCTTCCAGGATTTGGCATTTATGAATAAAGGTGCTGTAAACATCTGTGTGTAGGTTTGTGTGTAAGTTTTTAACTGACTTGGGTAAACCAAGAGGCGTGATTGCTGGATTGAATGATAAAAATATACTTAGTCTTGTAGGAAATTGCCAAACAGTCTTTCTGAAGTGGCTGTATCACTTTGCAATCGCCCCAGCAATGAAAGAAAGTCTCTGGTATTCCATGTCCTTGTCAGCATTTGGTGTTGTCAGTGTTCTGAATTTTGGCCATTCTGCTGAATATGTATTGGTATGATGTCATAGACTTTTTTTGAGGAGGGGTATTGGGGATGAACCCAAAGGCATTTTACCATGAAGCTACGTCCCCAGCGTCACCCCCTTCCCCACCCCGCCCCCTGCTTTTAAAAATCTTTTAGTTGTAGATGGATACGATACTTCTATTTTATTTATTTATTTTTGTGTGGTGCTGAGGATCGAGCCCAGTGCCTCACATGTGCTAGGCAAGTGCTCTGCCACTGCACTACAGCCCCAGCTCCCCCAGTCCCCCCCCCTTTTTTTTTTTAACTTGGAGACAGGGTCTCACTAAGTAGCTTAGTAATTTGCTTGCTAAGTAATTTGCTTGCTTAGTAATGAGCTTGCTAATTTGCTGAGGCTGGCCCTGAACTTTCAATCCTCCTGCCTCAGCCTCTGCATCACTGGGATTACAGGTATGCCTCACTGTGCCCAGCACACTGTTTTTTTGGTTTTGTTTTGTTTTGGCAGGGGATGGGGTACTAAGGATTGAACTCAGAGGCACTTGACCACTGAGCCACATCCCTGGTCCTATTTTGTATTTTATTTAGAGACAGTGCCTCACTGAGTTGCTTAGCAGTATACGGATGTTTTAACTTGCATTTCCCTGATGATCCAATATGTGGAGCATCTTTTTGTGCACTTATTTGCCATGCCTCACATGTCTATATGCCCCTGCTCACTTTCTCTGAACCTGTGCATGCCCTAATTTTCCAGGACAGGTGTTGGCTATGGTATTGATCTGGAACCCCGTTAGACTGACCTAAGGTTTTTTTGAAAATGATTGCTTCTCACTGTGGCTTCCAGAGGGGGTGGGGGACATTGGCCAAACTTGACTCTGAGGTCTCATGACTTTTTGGGCAACACAGGTTTCACTCTGTGTTCCAAGAATGACCTTTAAGTCGTATCACCAGCTGGTGAGCTGGCGATATGAACTGGGTTCAAAGGGGTGGCTGTATCAATAATCAATAAAACGTTGAAGAAACCACGCAGCACACGAACATAAGTTTCTAAGGCAGGACAGCTAGGCTCGTTAACCCCAAGGGTCAGCTCCAGTGCTGGAAGGAGCAAAAGAGAGGGAGCACATCCTGAACCCTGGTATTTGTTGGGGAGAAAGACATTCGAGAAAGTTCCACCCAAATAAGGCAAGGGATTGGATTTGGGAGGGTGGAGTCTTGCTTGGTGAGGTCTTGTGATCAGCAGATTGACTGACATGTTGGAAAGCCACACCCACCTCAGGTGCTGTGTGGGATCAAAGGCAGAGAGAGAGAAAAGGACACATAGGTCGCACAGCCCAGTCAGGCAGCAACGTCAGGCCAGTCCCCTCATACGCTCAAATGTGCATAGCTCATACACACAGCCATGGCTGGATCGCGACAAAGTAGGCAGTTCCTTTTTGACTCCTCTCCTCACAACCATTTGACTTTGCAGAAGGCCTCGGTGAAGCTTCTGGAAACATGCTGATAGAGCCTAGACTTGACCTTCCCCTCCACTTTTGCTGTCACCCTACTTTGGGGCCGATGTGGTGGTTGACTTTTCCCCACTGGATCCTCTTTCATAACTTCCTGAGTTATTCCCTTCAGCTTAAATTTGCCTTTTCCTATGCGGTAATAATTGGGGTTCTTGTGGGGTGGACACGCCCACTAGTTCTTTCTTCTGTTCCCATTCAGTGGTGTCCTCTGTTCTGTAGATTCTGGCTGTGACTCAGTCACTGACACAGAGCCTGAGGACGAGAAGGTCCTTCCCTACTTGAAGCAGCAGAACTTGCCAACGGAGACTTCACCTGGGAACCTGATGGTGGTGCAGCCGGACCGCATTCGCTGTGGGGTAGGCACTCCTGGGGGCCTGGGAGATCCATGTCAGAACGTGGGCTTTTCAAATGGATGCTTTTGTTATGGTAAAGGGAGGAGGTCTCATGTTGCACCTCAGTATAATCTCAGCCTTCCCTTGGGATTTCCCTTGGGACCCCCATGACCTAGGCTTTGGACACGTCTTGACCTGTAAGTCAACGAGGAATGTATGTATCATCCATGTAAAACTTCCATTTTATGGGTCATTTACATAGAACATGCAGGACACCAGTAAATATGAATACTTTCAGATATTGTGCTGTCCTTGGAGTTAGAGGCCTGTGTCTGTTCCTGCTGGTCTGGCACTGGACCAGGAGGTGGGGCGTGCTGAGAGCTTGCTTTTTTTGTCACCTGGCCACTGGTCTGGCCCAATAGACTGCCTTAAAGCTTGATGGATGAAACTCAACAGCCAATACTGCTTGATAAAAAGATTGGATAAATGCCTTAGTATCATGTGATTGGCATATATTAGTGCAGAGCATATATTAACAGGTGACTCAACTGTGACGGCCTAACAGCTGAGCCACTCCGTTCGTCAACAGATGAGCAATGAACATGGTAGTGATAGTTTTCATTATCTTTCTATTCTTGATGGAAAATATGTAGCTTTCTTCCTTTCTTTTTTTGCAGTGCTGGGAATCAAACCCAGGGCAGGCCTTATGCATGCTGGGCCAGCACTCTACCTCTGAGCCACCTCTCCAGTCCACAAAATGTGTAGCATTTATGACAGTTTGGGGCAGTGAAATGCATTCTTCATGGTTTCATGCTAAGCTTGCCACTGTGGTCTCCTTGAGATGGCAGGGTGTGAAAGTCTTGGCGATAGGATACATAGGCACCAGCTTCCTTGCACTTGGGAGTGGGTTTCTGTGCAGCCATAGCCTGAGACAGTGGGCCAGGGTTCCTTCTGTGGGGTAATAACAGACTGCTCCTTCGGACTCGGTTGGGTGTTTGACTCATAGACATGTTTGGTTTGAACTTCACAGTGTTTTTAAAATTAGCCATAATAATCTGTGCTTCAAGCTTCCTTTGAATCAGAAGCAGGTAATATTAGTCCTGCGGTGACCAGCTGGGGCTGAGCAGCCTTTGCGTGGGATGTGCATCCTCTGGCTGGTGCCTACCACTTCCTATTCATTATACTAACTTCACTCCCCTCCCCTACTGACTGGACCTGGCTGGGCATTTTAGTTTCAGTTTCCCATACTGCTTCCTGACGTCACAGGGTCATGGGGAAGGGTGCATGTGGGTGCCTGTGTGTGTCTGGAACTCAAGCACGTTTCCCTTCCCTTGCCTCTCTGAATTTCTGGGTTCTCATTGCTTTTCCCATCTGGGCTGCCTATGATCTCAGGACTCTATTTGCTGCATTCTCTAGGTCTCTGGGTCCACGGGTGGATGGGTCTTGACTATCAACAGGACGGACACACATTATCTTTGGCTTCTTACTTCTGTGGGGGTAAGGTGCATGTAGGACAGGGCTCAGCCTGCAGCAGGAGTAACCACAACCACAGTGTGTGTGTGTGTGTGTGTGTGTGCGCGCGCGCGCATGCGTGCTTAGCCTTCACACCTAGAATTTGCCCCTTCCTCCATCTGCTCTGAAATCCAAGCTTGCTGTACTTTTCTTGTGGCCCTTGTCAGGAAGGTCTACATGAGGACCTTATGGCAGGACCTTAGAATGAACATTTGGATTAGCTATGACCAGAAATTTCTTTTCCCCCCTGTTATTTTGGAGCCTAATCTTACCAGATCAGTCTGAAGTGAGCATTTTCCAGTTTAACCAGCACAGTTAAAAATATATATATATATATATATATACAGCTTGAGTATCCCCTAATCTAAGATGTTAGGGATAGAAATATCTTGTATTTCAAATTTTTTGGATTTTGGATTATTTGTAGATACATAGTAAAATATGTTGAGGAAGGGAACCAAGTCTAAAACTAAAATCCATTTATTTTATTCATCATGAGCATTCATTGGACATCACATGGACATTCATTCATCCTGTGTATACACATAGGCTGAAGGTAATTTTATATAATACTTTCAGTGTAGCTGTGTTTTGGCTACATCCTGTCATGTGAAGTCAGGCGAGGAATTTTCCACTTGTGGCACCATGTTGGTGGTCCAAAAACTTTCAGATTTTGAAGCATTTCATATTTTGGATTTTTTGTGTTAGGGATGCTCAACCCTTAATTCCTTTTGGCAGGCTCAGTGTGAGATTTTTTTTTTCATTTGTCCTTTTTAGTTATACATGGTAGTAGAATGTATTTTGATAGATCATACCTACATGGAGTATGACTTCCCATTCTTGTGGTTGAACATGGTGTGGGGTTTCACTGGCTGTGTATTCATATATAAACATAGGAAATTAATGTCGGATTCATTCTACTCCCTTTCCCCTTCCCATCTCCCCTCCCTTCCCTTCCTCCCCCCACCCCAATCTGGTGAACTGCCACCCCTCCCACCCCCCAGCCTATTCTGAGTCAGAATCAGTGTGAGATCTTACCACAAAGTAAAAAATAGCTGTTTAAGTTGCTTGATACCTTGGAAAAATGACTGCCCCCCGCATCCCCTGCCATCCGCCAATGAGTTATTTTTGGCCCTCTAGGAACAGCATGAGGAGCAGAGCCCTGTCCAGGCCAGGGCCTCTCACCCCTCAAGGTGCAGAGGAGTCACCTGAGCATCTTGTTAAAATGCAGACTCTTGGTCAGTGGTCCGGGAGGGACCTGGCAGTCTGTTTTTCTACCTAGCTTCAGGGGTGCCAATGCTGCTGGTCCCTTGGCTATATTTGGAATAATAAGACTAGTTTAGAACAGCGCTTGTCAAACTTCCATGGGGAAGAACTTTCTTTAAAAAAAAAAAAATCCAATTTTGCAACTATTCAGTTATTTTCTAAAAACAATAATAAAAGAATCCTATAAAATGAAATTAAAAGACAATGATGTACAAGCTCCAGTCTTTAAAAATTTATTATTACATTGAACAGACATAAAATAACTCCATAAAATTGTTATAAGGGGTTATAAATGTTTACTGTTGTCTTTGGCAACTTGTCTTATTGGGACAGTATCCCAGACTTCCCTGCCTGGCCCTGGACTGCTGAGCCCATGGTGCTCTGGAGCACCCTCACCAGAGAGAGCTGGGACTCAGGGAGCTAGGGAGACCCTCAGCCCAGCACCCTAAGGGACCCAGGAGGGAGAGGGGACCATGACCTGTCTCCCATTCCAGGCAGAAACCACTGTCTACGTCATTGTGAGATGTAAGTTGGATGAGAAGGTGGCAACAGAAGCAGAATTTTCTCCTGAGGATTCTCCGTCCATAAGGGTGGAAGCCACTCTGGAGAATGAGTACACGGTGTCCGTGAAGGCTCCCCGTAAGTAGCCCCAAGGTGACAGGTCAACAGTGCTTAACTGGCTTCTGAAATATTATCACTCTCCAGCTTATTTGCTGTTCCAGCACCCACGCGGACACTGGCACTTTGAATAAATAATTTCACATGTTTTTAAAAAGCAGTCCATTGTTTTAATTTGCATTTCCTTGATTACTAATGAAGCTGAATATTTTTCCATGTCCTCTATTTGCAAGCATTTCCTCTTTTGTGAATTGAATCTTTGTGGTTGGTGTATTTTTAGTTTTTTTTCTTTCCCCTCAAAACCCCTTCCGGTCCCACCAGCCCAGAGTGGCAGGAACAGTGTCACCTCCCAGGATCCTCCACCTTCTGCAACCACTAGCTTTTGTATCAAGTGCCTCAAACCCAGCTTTTCTTCCTGGTCATTGGGGCACTAGGTCTACAGTAGGAAGTAAAACAGACGAAAATCCTTCCAAATTTAAATCGCATACCCAGTGAGGACATTTGCTCTGACGCAGCCCTACCACTTTGGGCCTACTCCTTTTCCACTTCCACCCTTCCCCTGGTTCCCCTCCCCGGCTGGCCTCTGAGATCTTTCTCCCAACCCCCAATTAGTATTTTCACCATTCGGTGAAGCATCCTCTATCTGTAGGCTTTTCCCTGGATCCTTGTTCTCCCTGGGCATTTTCACAGTAACTTTTCCTCTGTTTAGACCTTTCATCGGGGAACGTTTGTCTGAAGATATATTCTGGGGACTTAGTGGTGTGTGAAACTATTATAAGCTATTATACTGACATGGAAGAAATTGGGAATTTATTGTCCAATGCTGCAAATCCTGTGGAGTTCATGTGTCAGGTAAGGACAGGAAGCCTGAGCTTTCTTGGGCGTGTAATTTCTGCTTATGGTTTTTTAGCCTCTTATCTGCTGAGCAGGAGATAAAAATCTGACCGCCTTCACTTTTTTTCAGGCCTTTAAAATTGTGCCCTACAACACAGAGACCCTGGATAAACTGCTCACCGAGTCCCTGAAGAACAACATCCCTGCAAGCGGACTACACCTCTTTGGAATCAACCAGCTGGAAGAAGAAGATATGATGACAAGTAAGTCTACAGTCAGACCCCCGGACCAGCAGCCTGCTGGTTTCAGCATCTAGCAGGTTCTTTCTGCTGATCCCTGCTCTACAGCCCACCCTAGGAGAAGGGCTCTTGCTTCCCTGGGTGGCCAAGATTCTTCTCAGTCGCACATCTGAATCCGGTCATGCGTCAGTCACCTAGCAATGGGGATACCTTCTGAGAATTGCAGTCAGGTGATTTCATCCTAGTGTCTGTCCTGTGAGGGAGGAGCAGGCCTTGTACACTGTGGGACAGTCACACCACTCACACGAGGATGGTGCCCAGTGATCTGGATAGGATGCCTTTGGAGTTTTCTTGTGGACACCATTCTTCTGTCATACCACGATGGCCCTGCCCAAATGGAACCAAGTCCCATGGCTTCCCTCTGTCTGTGTCACAACCTTCCATAGCCTGGGGACCATAGGTTGGAGCTGCCTTAACAAAGCCTTGTCCTGAGGGTGTTCTTTCTTGTTGCCTCCCCTCACTTTTCTGCTGTGGAATGTTCTTTCATCATGTCTGGTAGATGTAACTACTCTATATGCCTCAACTCAGGGCTCAGGAGATAATATTTCATGGCCTGACAGTCTGGGAACCTGGGGATGGTTTTAAACCCTTCTTCCCAAGGATCATGACCTGGTGAATAGGAAGCTGAGTTTGCTATTATATCATATATATATATATATATATATACATCTATATAATGGTATATAATATAAATTGTTAGTCCCACAAATCAACTTTAAGGAAAAAAAAAAGATTTTCCTTCCAACTCCACAACACAATCATATCTACTTTTTTGGCATTCTTATTATGAAATCGGGAATAAGAATTAAAAGGATGGGCTTCTTTCTCTTAGCACAAAACAATATTTTCAAAGCACTCTGAACTTTGTGGAGAAGGTCAAAATATGATCTTTGCTGCAACTTGTGGTGGATATTTAAGTCCCTAGAAATCATCACCTTGTAGGGCTGGGGTGGAGTTCAGCAGTACCGCCCTGGCCAAGTTTGCATGAGGCCCTGGGTACCATCCCTAGCACTGCAAAGAACGAAATCAGCACCTTCTGAATTGGTACTATTTCTAAGGTTTTCCAATACTTTTGGAGCAAGAAGGTAGGCTATTAATTATTGGTATGCTGATTAATTAAAATTTTATTTTTCTCTGTCATGTGAGTACATGATCTTCAGGGGTGCCCCAAAGGAAGCATGTCAGATGATATGCCAATCAACCAGTAAGTAATGATTGAGTGTCTACTGGGTGTCATGCTAGACTTGGCAGCTTCATCTCCCGTGCCTTCGTTGTTGTCTGTCAATTAAGTTCTCCTTGACCCTTTTTTCAGATCAGAGGGACGAAGAGCTGCCCACCTTGTTGCATTTTGCTGCAAAGTATGGGCTGAAGAACCTGACCGCCTTGCTGCTCACATGCCCAGGAGCCGTGCAGGCATACAGTGTGGCCAACAAGCATGGCCACTACCCCAATACCATCGCCGAGAAGCATGGCTTCAGGGACCTGCGGCAGTTCATCGATGAGTATGTGGTAAGATCAAGGCAAGGGGACCCCAAGATTGGAAGTGCATAATGTGGCTCTTGGCTTCCTCTTTACAAAGATACAGACAGATTCCATCCCTGGAATGTCCTTTGGGCCTCTTCTGGCTGTGGGCAGTATGGGGGGGAGTGGGCTTGAAATGAGCCCTGAAGTCACATGGGTCCAAATTCCTATATACACTTGGTAGACATGTGACTTCATGGACAGAAGGGAGATCATAACAGTTCTACTCATAGAGTTGTTTTGAGGATGAAAATGAAATAATGCAAGCTCCGAGAAGCACCCTCAAAAGATTGTTGCTGATTCTCTTCATCACCTACCTACCTCCCCACCTATCTCCGGATCTTCCCAATTTACCTGGTCCAGCTTCAGCCCCAGGTGAACTGTGTTAGGATTAATTAGCAGACACCACAAAAAGGTTCTGCACCTGAGGCAGGCAGTGAGGTTCTGACTCTCTGCCTGGATCTGAACTTAAGACAGGCAGATGCACCCAGTTTATCTGCTCATCCAGTTTGGGGACCCCATTCCTCCTTGATCATTGGCTTCTGTGTCTTTCCCTGAGTCTGATCTCACCCCATGCCTACGTTTTTCCTGCACCCAATATTGCCACTCTTGTCCTGGAGGCACTTGCTCTTCCTGACTCCACTCGTTCCTGCTTTACCATCTCCTTCACAGACCCTCAGAGGGCACCCAAGAATGGCTCAGTCCTTCACATGGGGCTGTGACCCCCAAGAGAAGCCATGAACATTGACTGTCCAGGCTGGCTGTCTACCTCCGGAAGGGAGTGAGCCTGACAGCTTTCCAGACTCTTAACTCTGCTCCGGATTGGAAAATCTACAAGGCAGGGACCCACCAAGGCACACGGAGGGGCCTTCCTCAGCATTTTTGAATGAACAGAATGGTATAAATCCTGATTTTGAGCTCACATAAATGTTTCTCAGAGGCCCTTGTAGTCTCAGAATATTTCATTTCCCTTTCTTGTCAATTATTTTTACTAAGGACATATGGTATTCATGATAGTAATATTTATTGAGTTTATTTAATTAGCAAATTCATTATCTCATTTAATCCTCATCACAATCCTTTGAAGTTGACAGCATTGTGATCCCTGGTTTGTGAATGAGAAAAAAGACTTAGAAAGGCAATGTGGTTGTGCGTGGAGCCACACACGGGGAAAATGTGGAGATGGGATTGGAACCTAGTTTGGTCCTAAAGCCAGGGCTTATTATCCTGCTTTATATAACAGGGAAGTTTATTTACTTATTTATTTCTGCAGTACTGGGGATTAAACCTAGGACCTCAAGCATGCTAAGCAAGCTACATCCCTGAGCCACACCCTTGTCCCACACAGGGAAGTTTAAATATGCATTTTTAGTGTGCATTGAAGTTAATCTGGTTCACATTTCTTGAATCATCTTTGCTATATCGTCACCTTCCACCAATGTGTCTTCAACCTTGCTACCAAAAGGTTATCCCCGCATGTTGCTTATGGCCCCTAAGAATCAACCCACCTTTTTCCCCCACCACCTCAAAATCAAATGCCCAACCTGGAATCTCCAATACTGTGCAGCTGTCACCAGTCCACTCAGTCCTACCAGGAAACCAATGCAAAGAATCAGTGAAAGAGCAACTTTCTTGGGCAGTGATGATGAAAATGAGGATTTTCTGTGGGTGGAAATAAGGATTGTGACACACCTAAGTTTCTTACCAGAAAATACTGTTGCAGCGGTTTCAGAGAAGTGGGCTCTCTAGCTTCACAACCACCCAGAGGCAGAATGACTGCGAGCATCTTTACTGACTCCAGGGCTCTTCCACCAGGATCAGCTCTCTCCTTGGGGATACAAATAAAGCTCTGGAAACCACCAGGCACCTTGAAGAAGGCTGCCAGAAGGGATGGGGTCTGAGGGAGTCACTCTGGGACCCAGAAGCAAGGCTCAGTTGGGCCAGCTTGCATTTCTCTGTGGCCTCTTGTGTCATTTGCTCCCTATTGAGAAACCACTAGGATGAAGTAGAAAGGTCAAAATCCAGGACTGTAACCCCTAAAGTAAAGCACCACAATTTTTCTGAGCTTTGTTTGTAAACTAGGAAATAATAACTTTCTCAAGCAGCGTGGAAAGAATAGCATGCATCTAGTTATACAACCAGCATCGCACTGACCCATGAGAGGTGCTCATGAGAAAGTAATTTCTTATTTGTATCCTCTAGCTGTTGAATATTTAATCAGTATCTCTTGAGAGCATAACCCTGATGAGTGTTAGGGGAAGATATGATGATTAAAGCAAAGAACACAATGTAAGGAAAGAAAAAATAACGCCTAAAGCTTGGCCCCAGGGAGAATACAGGTAGGTACACCAGGCAAATGCAATCCTGACTCATGTGAATGCCTGCTTCAGGCCCCCTGGGGAACGAAATGTGCCTGGCTCAGCGTCATTGCGCCTGTGTCTTCTCTTGCAGGAGACTGTAGACATGCTGAAGAGTCATATTAAAGAGGAGCTGATGCACGGGGAGGAGGCCGAGGCTGATGCCGTGTACGAGTCCATGGCCCACCTGTCCACAGACCTGCTCATGAAATGCTCCCTCAACCCCGGCTGTGACGAAGAGCTGTATGAGTCCATGGCTGCCTTCGCCCCTGCGGCCACTGAAGACCTCTGTAAGTAGCCCGGCCAGTTCTGGTTGCATGTTTCTGCTGAGAAATGACTTTCTTCATTCTGGTCTGTTTGGGGAAGTCCCTGCTTACCCCTGCCCCACTCAGACAAATGAAGATCCTGTGTTCGTTTTAGGCCTGCAGTCATGTGCTGTGGCACGTAGAACCCTTCCCCACACTTCCCCTGTTGTGGCTGCTGTGAGGGTTTGCCTGGAAGTCACAACGCACAAAGGCATTGTCTTGTGATCTGAGAAGCTCCAGTCCCCCTGCCTGGTCCAACAGCAGCTTTTTTTTTTTTTTTTTTTCAAATTGTATTGGACACAATACCTTTATTTTATTTATTTATTTTTATGTGGTGCTGAGGATCAAACCCGGTGCCTCGCACATGCTAGGCGAATGCTCTACCACTGAGCCACAACCCCAGCCCTGCAACAGCCTCTTTTTATAACCAACATTTTGTAAAGCCCCCTTTGCTAACCTGCATGACATCATGTATAATATAGGGTACCTACACATGAAACCCTGAGACACTCAGTGTCCTGCCCTATTTGAAATGTTAAGTAGAAATTAAGGGAGAGGACATGGCCAGGCATGCCTGCCCATGAAGACACTTGAAACAGTTCCAGGTAGACACCTGCATTCATGATCACTGTAATGTCATGGCCTCAGATGGAGACTGACATGCATCCAATATCTTGGTGACTCAAAGGCTATGAGGAATGTTGACATCAATGCCTGGATTTTCTGAAATTGTGAACTTCTCTTCACAATTTCCTAATAAATGAGTTCCTGGAAAATTCAGAGCATGCAAAAATAAAAGGTATTTACATATGAAAGAGTTAGGTTCTAGGCTCAGAAAATAAGCAGGTTTTTTTTTCTTTTGCGGGGGGGATAACCTGATTTTACTGGGTTAATACACAGTAAAATTATTTCTAAAATATCATGCTGCAGGACGTGATTTTTTTTCTTGTAAATTTCTTAACTAATTTTGACCATTTGGGAGTAAGTATGTTGTTTTTATTTTATTTTTCCACTTTCAAAAGTAATAACATTTTTACAAACACTTGAAATAAAATAGAAATGTACAACTGAGTTGATAAAAGTCTATATGACCCCCCCCAGTAAATATAGCATTAATAATAGTTTGGTATTACATCTTTTCCTTATATTTGTTGATATTAAATTTAAAATTTTGCACACACACGTGTGTGTATATATATATATATATATGTACACAGATATGCACAAATGAACACATTTGTATAAATATGTATTATAAACTTTTTTTCTAACTTATATATATGTAATGGGATAACGAAAGCCATGGGGTACACCAACACTTCATTTTGCAAGGCTGTCCCACACATTGCAGGGTGTCTGGCTTCCTTTCCCCTTCTATTGAATGCCCTTGGTGTCCCTAGTCTTGGTGACAACCCAAAATACTCTCCTAGATCTTCAAAGTGCCCCCTAGGGGGCAGTGTGCCACCCTTGAGAATTGCTGATCTAATTAGCATCGGATTGCAATGCATGTACTGGTTGGTGGTGAAGCAGGAGAACCACACAACAGCTGTCCAAGAGGATTTTTAATGTCTTTACCATCATTTGCTATCAAGTGCTAAGCACTGTCCAAGACTTAGCCTTCCTTTCCTCTGAGTCTAATTAGTAGATTCAGGAAACATGACAGACCAGGGATGTAGCCAGTGGTAGAACACTTTCCTAGCATGCGTGACACCCTGGATTTAATTCCCAGCACCATGGGGAAAAAGAGAGAGAGAGAGAGAAAGCGAAAGAAGCATAAAGACAGATACCCAGCTATGTATCAGCTTTATGGGCAGAGGGCTTTCTGGATTGGGCTAGCTTGGATGTTGTCACCCTTCCAGGGACTGCAAGGAGGCAGTTCTAAGTTTCTCATGCACAAATTCCTGGTAAAGCAGGCACCATGAATGTGCCTTGGAGCAATAGGCATAGGCTCGTTGGGGACTTGGGGTGTCCCTGACACCAGCAAGGTCTTTGACTCTGACCCCAGCACCTGCAAGATGTGAGCCAGTGATTGTTAGGCCTTTGCCATTGAGATCAGCTGCTTCTCTGGGGTAGAGGGTAGTAGGAGCCCCCTTCCAGCACCTAATTGGGAGGACTGGAAGCACTAGTGTGTGCTTTTCCCAAATAGCTATGGCCTGGCAGGCACATGAGAAGGGAAGGCATCATTCCTACCATCCACATCCTTTGTCTCATTGAATCCTTAAAGCAACCAGACAGGGCCACTTCATGATCTGCACCTTAAAAGTAGGGAAACTGAGGCACTGAGAAGTTAAACAACTTTCCCAAAGTGTCACAACTGATAAGTGGGAGAGCCTATATTTGAATCCAGGCCTTTCTCTAGGATCATATTTTTTATTCCAGGCTAGAAATTTTCCTCGAACATTGTAAATTTTAGTCCATTCCATTTAAAGAAACCCTTAACCTCTGTACTCATGCTTCCCCTATCTATGCTTCAGACATCAGATAACCACACAGCCTCTGGCACCCCTGCACTTGCACATCTATTCGCCTACATACCCAACAAGCATTTCTGGAGCATCTGTGTATTCTAGCTCCTTGCCTCTCCTGGGCACTGGAGATACAAGATGGACCAAGACCAGTCCTTCCCACTGTGGAACAGGGACCCATTCACAAAAGAATACTTGGAGAACCACGGGAACTCACTTGGGAATCCAGAGACTATGCATCATTTCTGCCCTGTCCCCTAGTTATAGGACTGTCCCACAATGAAAAAACTCCTCACTTTCCTGGCACTTTGTTTTGACATAGTCTTAAGCCTTGTTATCCCCCTGGATGCTTCAGTACATGGAGCTCCCTTCTGTATCACTGGACTCCTGCAGGGAATGCTAAAGGCATCCATCCCATTACTCCTTGTCTGCTGGGTCCTTCACAGTGGAAATTCTGAGGTTCCCCAGCTCTTCCCACAGCTCCGTGTGCTGGGCAACTAGGCTGGTTTGTGGCTGATTGGCAACTTGTAAAGTCCCATGGTGCCTGGGGGTGGGGAGGTTTGGTCATTGTGGAGCTGGAAGGGGGCTACCAGGAGAGAGGCAGGCTATAGAATGTGGCTCCATTTTGAGCGAGAAATGGAAACCCACCACATTTTTCATTTGCTAGATCATATAATCTCTGAAATTTGGGATTTTAGACATGTTTGGTTTGTTTCTGTCTCTGCAATTATTAGATTTAACCTTGAGAACGGTCTCTTCCCTACTGACTCAGAAGATGCACCAACTGGGACCTGGGAAGAGTCATTCATTTTACTGGTGTTGACTATCTGAGTGAGAAGGCAGCTTGGTTCCTAAACAAGTAGGATAGAGACCATACTGATAAATCTAAGATGCTTATTGCAGCACTAGCCAGGAAGGCCATAATTCAGTATCTGGCAGCCCTTTGAAGTCCACTAACTGCTTTCATCTCTGTCGTCTTATCTGATGGTCCTTAGGCTTGGTGGATAGAATAATCTCCCTTTTCCAGGGCTCCAAGAGTTAGTAATTAATCTAAGTTCCATCAAGGAAGAACTTGGATCAGGAATCTGGGCGTTTGGATGGGGTTGAGGGCTTTCCTGGTGTGCCCTTCAGGGATCTACATTTGCCAGCCCTGGGATGGGCAAATTAGAGGAAGTGTTTTCCTGTCTAAATAGCCAGGGTTATCTATCCCCTTCCTGTGTGGCTGTTTGTGATGGTCACTCTAAATGCTGAAAATAAACACATTACAAAATTGGGCTGTGTTCCTTCACTCACTTGCTCATTCATTCACCTGCTGGCTGGACCAGTATTGTGGACTAGTGGGCTTTAGATCAGTTTGCAGAACTACTTTGGAGATGCTCTAACTGTTTTGGAGACAGATCTGCCTCTTTCTGACTTGAGTGGCGGGAAAGAGATGTGATGACCTCCCCTTTACCAAAGGAGATTCTAGAACAATCACTGGGTAGAAAGATTGACAGGGGAAATTCCCAGTATTGAGTAAAGGGGAACTGGGAGCTGAACCTGAGATTTTATGATCCTGCTCTAGGCTCTGTTTCCCTGAAACTTTTGTGTGTACACACACATACACACACACACACACACACACACACACACACACACACACACCCCTCGAAGTCTTTAGTTTAGATATGCTGCCACCAGGTGGCAACTGCATGTCTCTAGTATTAGACCTTCTACTTTGCTGTCAATCCTCTTGAGAATTTTTTGATTAAGACTCCACAGATTTAAATCATCAACTTCCACACTTCACTATGTAAGAAATAAATGTCTTTGCGGATAAGTTTATGGAAACACTGAATGAAAATCAAACCAAGCCTATCTTTAGGTGTTTTCATTATCTCCTAGTTTTTTTCTCCTTTAGTTCTGTTGCCCCTCTCCTTCCCTTCAGAGAATGATGTGATAGATAGTCCTGGCGGTCCTTTGATGTTGGTCATTAATTTTGTTATGAAAACTTTGCCTAGTGACTAGTCACTTCCCTGAAGCTCTGGGTATGAAGGCCTCAGGAGCTAGTTCTGGGAGGCCCTTGTCAGGTCTCCAAGGGAATCACTTGGTGGATTTTGTCTTTGCTTACATATCTCAGAGGCTTGTGCTTCTTCCATAAGAGAAAGGAGGCAAAGAGAAAGGTATAGTGTCTTGTTACTAGAAATTACAGACTCACAAGGATCTTTCTAATCTAATCTCTCTAATTTAATAGTCATTCCAGACTGCTATTCTACTTCAGGGTAACCTGTTAGAGTTCCTTTGAACTCTAATCCCTTCTTTACCATCTGCGTCAGCTTGAATTTGTAGATGGCCAGAGCTGCTGTGGCCCTAGCTGAGAACTGGCATCATGTGACCGATCAGTTTGTGTTTTCTTTACTTGAGCTTTCTGATGGCATGCCCCTCCACAACTGGGTTCCCTCCATAACGGAGGGCATGGTTGAGCAGCTCAGCCCTGTAGATCTGAGTGAAGCCAAAGGACAATTTCCAAGCAAAATTACT